TTCTTCTTCATCATATTCTAGCTACTCAAAAGAATGCTCACTTCTTTGTACATGAATAAGAATTTCTTTAGTTTGATGCTGAAATTTGGCTTTCCTACTTACATTCTTTTCTGATTGAAATGTTGTTGATTTCCTCTTTTTTTTTTTAGCAGTTGTTTCATGCTTGGGTTTCAGTGAATTTCTTCTTAGACTGAGACTGAATATCTTTTTGATAATTGGTTCTCCTTCCTTTGTAGATATTTCAGTCTGTTCTTGTTCCTTAAAGTTAGTTGCTTCATCTTTATCCTCCTCTTCAATTTGTGGTAGCAATTGTTGGTAGATCTTTTTTATCATTGTTTCTTCTTCCTTTTCAGATATTTCAGTCTGCTCTTGTTCCTCAAAGTTAGGTTCTTCATCTTTATCCTCATCTTCTGTTTATGGTAATAATTGTTTGTATATTTGTTGTTCTTCATTTGTGTGTTTCAAATTGCTCTCCTACATGAATGAAAATTATTAAAAAGAATGATATGACACAAATTTCAGAAATAAATTTATAATTTAGTGATTCAAATTTATAATAAGACTAGAGATTTGGTCCATGATAACAAGATTTTATTACTGAATCAGCAAAATTAAGCAAAATTTATCACTCAATGAAGCAAACTAAGCAAATTTATAACTGTGAGCAAAAATTTATCACTCTATATCAAAATTTATCGCTGCATAGCAAAATTCATCACTCAATTAAGGAAATAAAGGTTATACGCTGATAAAACTTGTTTCTTGAATAATTTCCTAGCACAGATGATATGCCCAAATAATTTTCTACTAGAAATGTGACACCATGAACATTAAAAGAATTTATCACTCAAGCAGGTGAACGAAGGGAAATTTATCACTAAATTAGGCAAATTGACTAAATTTATCAGTGTAAACAAATATTTATTATTTCATAACAAAATCTATCATTCATTCAAACAAAACAAAGGTTATCAATGCATACCACAATATTTTTCAGATCATCCAAGGATGAATTTGCCAATTGTTGTCCCAGATTTGTGATGTTCCATTTTGCAAATCTTGGGATTGCGTTCTTGTCATTTGGTTTGATGATGCTTGTATGCTCGCATATCCAATACTGTTGAGGACAAAAAATTGTTATAAATAAGTATTTAGTAAATATAAATATTATATCTCATAACTTGTGAGGTATTTACTTACCAATAAGACTATCACACATCCGAAGACTTTATCGATTTGGTTCATGTTGCTTGTTATTGATCTTGTGAGCTGTTGTTTCGCTGCACCACACTAATCATAAACTTCCTTCTATCAATATCCTCGATATATTTCATGAATCCCCAACCAATTGTAGTCCCAGTACACAGATATAACAAAAACAAATAGATCTAGAGGCACACTAGCCTAGCAACATCTTGTATATCCTCATTGTTATTGCTTTCCAAAAGTTGAGTGATCAATTTTGTGATTGATGTTCTTGTTATTCTACTCTCTATTATGTTCCTTCTTTTTACCATATTTATCTCATTTTTTCTTCCATATGAGTGATTTATCTTCTTTTGTCTACATGCAATCCCAAAAATCAACTTAAAGTCATTGCTTTTCAACTTCAATTTCTTAGCACCTATTGTGAAAGTTTCTCCATCCATTTGGTAAGTTTGCAAGATTTTTGCAACCACATCATCATATTTCATAGAATCTCTTCTTTTCACCTTGTTTTTATTCAATCTATCAACTAGAAGTGAAAAATGAGTCTTTCTCAATAATGCCAAATGTTCCTCTCTGAGTTTTGTTGTCTTGAAAAACTTGATAAGAGATTAAATGTTAGAACGGTAGATATACTTTGCTTCATGATCATGTATCTGTTCAGTCCTAAATTTTCTTCTATCAACCTTTTTCTTCTTTCTTGCTTTGTGGAGCTCTGTAGCTTGTTTCAGTTACTGCTGTTTGGGCTCCCCATTGTCAATGTTAGATTCACGTTCAACTTCTGGTTGATTTTCACTTTCATCTGTTGTTGGCTCTATAACACACTCAACTTTTTCAATCTTTTTCTTCTTTAAGAAACTTGTTTCTCGACAACATAATCTTTTACAATGACTAGGAACATTTGTACAAAAACATCGAGCATAAACATTGAAGATTAAGAAGAATTTATCACTGAACTAGGCAAACTAAGAAGAATTTTATCACTGAATTAGGCAGAGTAAAGAAATTCGTCATTCTATAGCAAATGTTATCACTCAATTAGGAAAAATAAGCAAATATATCATTCTTATAACAAATGAACATGAAGAAATGATTATTATGAAGTTGAATATCAGTGATAAATTAATACTGTATGGTACACCTTGAAAATAGCTTCAAGTCGAATTTTATCAGTTAATTATAGTTATGAAAGAAGAATGGAAGTAAATCCATCATTATAACAAATTTTATCACTCCATTAGGCAAATTAAGCAAATCTATCATTTTTATAACAAATTTTATCACTGAATTAGGCAAAGTAAAGAAATTCGTCATTGTATAGCAAATGTTATCACTCAATTAGGAAAATTAAGCAAATCTATCATTCTTATAGCAAATTTTATTACTGAATGAAGCAAAGTAATCAAATCTGTCACTGTATAGCAAACTTTATCACTGAATTAGCAAAACTAAGCAAATCTATCATTCTATAGCAACTGAACATGAAGATATGATTATTATGAAGTTGAATATCACTGATAAATTAATACTGTATGATACACAATAAAAATAGCTTCAAGTCGAATTTTATCACTTAATTATAGTTATGAAAGAAGAAGGGACGATGAGTATGACTCACGTTTGATTGGCATGTTTGTTGAAGATGAACTAAACATGGAGAGTAGATGTCCAAATCGGAATATAGATCGAAAAGGTGGAAGATTTGCTGGGGATTTGTTCGGAATCAATATGAAAACAATTGGTAATTTCTTTGGAAACGATGGGAGATTCGCCAAAAATCTCTTCGTTTGTTCTAATCTCCAAATCGTAAATCGCCTTAGAATGGTTTCCAAATGTTCACACGTTTGTCTACAACAGAACCCTTGAAAAGGCGTGTAAATGTCATGTGCGTAGCGAAGAGTTTGTGACGACTTCTTTGCTTCACGAGTATGGTGTGATATTGAGGGGTAAAATTGGAAGCGGAAATAGGCCAAGACTTGACCGGTATTAAGTTATTTCCATGGGACCAGCTGGTAAGTCTCTCTTAAAAAAAGTCCTTGAAAACTAGTAATGATAGAGACTCTTACAAAACATGATTCTACAATTTTCAAAATGATCTGAACCATTCATGTCACTATCAGAAATAAAAAAAAAAAAATTCAAACACATCAATAATCAATACATCAATGAGGATTGTAGAAATACTCCTTTGTGGGGTCTCAAACATTTTCTCTTGAAAACCTATTATCCTCACATTGTCGTTAACAACTTTGCTTTGAAGGGTCCTGCTATGTATGGCCCCTCGATATCACGTCAACATCATTGGAATAAAAACCCATGCTTGTTTGGTTTATTTGAAATTATAGCAATCCTATATACTACTCTTTTTTCCCAAATATATATTACAACTTTTTTTGTTAGGTAGTATATCACAATTTTGTGTGCGTGGAAATATCAAAAAAAGAAGTAAAAATAATAATTGTAAATTCATGAAAGTATAACACTCATTTGTACAATCTAATCCATAAATTACTTGTACTTTTATAAATTTACAGTTATTTTTTTAACTTTTCACTTTTTTGATATTTTCTTCTTCTTCTTTTTCTTTTTCTTTTTTTTTTCACCAATTTTTTTTTTTTTTTTTTTTTTTAATTTTTTTTTTTTGTAATGTAATCTTGCTAACTTGTACACACCAGACTAAATTCCGATTTTTTATTTTATTTTATTTTTGTTATGTAGTATATTACAACTTTTTTTTTTTTTTGTTAGTGTATGACAACTTGTTTTCTTTTTTCGCCATATATTACAACTTTTTTTTTCTTTTTTAAAGAATTATTGATGAAAATGGTACTAAGTATTACGTGCATTGAAAATTTAATATTGTATTTGGATCATAAATTTGATTATGAATTTGAAACAAGAAAGAAAATTGCAATAGAAAGGACACACACACAAAAAAATCTATTTCTTTCACATTTTTTCTTTCTTTTTTATTATTTAAATTCTTATTCAAATTTACGATCCAAAAGTCTAAAAAACTCAGTGTAATTATGATAACTTGTTAAGCTTGACATAGTTTTCGAAAATTTCAAAACGATTGAGTATAATTTACCTTTATTTATTGAGCATTGTAACAATTACAAACTAAACTGCTAATTATTTTATTAACTGCTCATACACTTTTATTTTATTTTTTTGAATGAAAAAAAAAATAAGAATTTAATATATTTATGATTTTATGCTTGTGAGAGGGGAAAAAAGAGACAAGAATATAGTTGTAAAGATCTTCTTCTAGGTTTAAAAGAAACAGAATAACCCATTATAGACCCATCCATTCAAGGAAGATTTGTCTTAGCTTGGACCTAAGACAAGTCAATTTAACGACTTAAAACCAGAACTCCTAGACTTGTTCCTTCCTGCAAGGGGCTAGTTTTTTGGCGTTATTTTTAATAGTATTACGTTGGTCTTGTCTCCATTTTCAATTCTCTTGCTTTTCTTTTTTCTTTTTATCACACACTTAGCCCCATTCATCTAGCAGATTAAGTTGGTTGTGATTGTTAGTGATATGATAATTAGTGATGAGATTATTAATATGAGAACTGTTAGTGAGGAGATTAAGAAAAAGTATATTTATTTTGATGATAGTATAGGAGATGATTAATGATGAAATTGTTAAATTATTTTTATATAAGATAAATTAATAAATTAATTTCATATTAAAAAAATTAAAACAAATATTAAACAAACAAAAGAACTAGATTAAAAAAAAAAAAATTTATATAAAATAAGCTCAATTTCCTCATTATTTTTTCTAATTCTAACCAAAACCCAACCAAGCTAAACCTCCTACTAAACCTCTCGAACTATCAATCTACCATTCCATTTCACTACCAAACATGCTGTGGGTGGGATCTACAACTATGATAATCTAATCGGATCACTCAAGCAGCGAAACAAACATGGCTTTGACTCTCTCTCTCCTCTCTCTCTCTCTCTCACACACACACATATATATCATCACTTTAAACACAATTTGAAAGATAGATTATCATTTGATTCGTTTAAGTCCTTTCAAATCCTGCTCAGAATTCTCTCCCTAGCTTCAATGGACAAGAAGGTGAATTTTCTCTCTGTTTCCTCTGTTCTGTTCCTTTTAATGTGCATGCATACATATTGATGCAAATATATGTTTGTAGATTTCCATGTATGTGTGTTTTCATTTTGCCAGATTTTGATCAAAGGGGGGTTCCAATTCATGGGCTTCTAATCCATACTTGTTTTGCTATTTCTCTTTTCATTTATGTGAATTTCGAGTCCATTTCTTGATGGGTTTTGTATTTTCTGTCATTTTAATGAGAATTTGAGTTTAGATTCCCTTCATTTTCTGTGGGATGTGTTTTAATTTGATGGGTTTGATTGTAATTCATCTTTGTTGTGATCTGGTGATACCCATTTGATGGGTTTCTAATCCATACTCTGTTTTGGAATCTCTCTCTCTCTCTCTCTCTCGCCCATTTATCGATTTTTCTGCTATTTCAAAGAGAATTTAAGCTTCAATTCCTTCGTTTTCTCAGAGAAAACATGAATTATATGTTGTGAATTTCAAAAGCATGAACAATATGTTGGGTTCTTAATCTAATCTACACTTGTTCTCTTGTTTTTATGTGAATTTTGAGCCCATTTCTTAATGGGTTTCTTTCATTTTACAAAGAATTTGAGTTTCAATTCCCTTCATTTTCTTAGAAAAACATGAATTAGACATGTTGTGAATTCCGAAACCATGAATCTTGAATTTTCCCAAAGTGCTTTATTATGTGGTCCTAACTGAGAATCTTAGTGGATTTGCACTTTCGATGTTTTTTCCTCTTCAGAAACATTCTAAAGAGGATTGTAATCTTACACTCGGTTTTCGAATCATTGTTTTTTAAGTCTCTTTCATGCTTTTCTAACTTTTTTCTTTTTTGTTGCTTTTGTTGCAGAAAGTAGTATTGAAATTGGATGTGCATGATGAAAAGGCCAAGCACAAGGCCATGAAAACAGTTACTAGCCTCACACGTATTAAATGGCTTTGCCACACTTAATTTTCAAATATGTATCTTTGTTATGAAACATTGGTTATTTGGGTATCAAACTTATCAAAATAAATCAATGGGAAATAACAAAAAGCGCAAATACATGATTTATGTTGTTTGGTTCATAACCTATCTCCACACAAACCAGATAGCAAGAATACTTTTTCTAGTACTCACTCTCTATTTTTGTCTAGTTGAGCAACTCACTGATCAATCTGTTTTGATTCTCCAAACTATGTAGGGATTGATTCAATTGTTATGGACATGAATGAGAAGAAATTGACATTGATTGGAGATGTTGATCCTGTCATTGTAGTGAGCAAATTGCGAAAACTATGCCACACAACCATAGTGACAATTGGGCCGGCCAAAGAGCCCGAGAAGAAAAAAGATGATAAGAAGGATGAAGAAAAGCAGATTGAAGGGCTTGTGAAGGCCTGCAAAGCTTACAATCCTTACATGACTCAGTACTACCATGTCCATAGTGCTGAGGAGAACCCAAATGCTTGTGTTATCTGTTGAAAGTGTGAGATTGAGAAGTAGAGAGTTTGTAGTTAGGACATTGTGTTCATTGGGGGTTAGGTTTTGAGTTGTGTCCAAACACCCATCTGAGATGAGAGCGAATAAAAGAGGATGATGATCCTATTGTACAGTTGGTGTTGGTAGGTAGATTGTTCTTTATCCATGTGCTATAGGACATTTGATGTACGAAGTTCAAAATAAAGAGAGGAAATAAATTTATGTACTTGGTATGTAGTAATTAGCTACGCTCATGTTGTGTTTTGCTCCTCTTTGAGGGAAAAAAAGAGTGAATATGGAAATTTAATATAAATGTTTTACCCTTACTCGTAAATGATTTATTTATATATATACATATGTATTAAGTGCTTCAAAATTTTGAAATTGATCCTAATTCAAAACTTGGCTAACAAAAAAAAAAAAAGATTGACCCTAATATACTTGCATAGGACAGGCTTTGACACAATTGTAAGGTTATTTTATTGCAATTTGGATGATACTTATTTACCGGACAAAATTATCTAACTTCATAATAACAGAAGTCCTGTGCCCTGAACTGTCATTTACTCATAGAAATGTCATGCTCTCTGGAACTAAATGTCACAGGCCGTGCCACAAAAAAAGTGCAATTTAGCATATAGTAAATAATGAGTGATTTTGTGACTGAAAAAAGCAATGATCTTTAGCGGGCCTCAGTGATCTTTTTTTAGCAATGTCTTGTTTCTAAACAGAGTTGAATTGAAAGTTCTCAAAACCTTTTGCCAAATGTTGTGGGCTGAATAGCTATATTTGAGATGCTCGTCTGATGGCAACTGACAATTGATTAAGCATGTTCTATGATAAGATCAACAATTATATAACTTAAAAAAAAAAAAAAAAAAATGTCTTCTCGAAGTCAGGGTTGAGAAAAAAAATTATGGATTAATTTTTGCAGAAAACAATAGCAATATTTCTTGTTCAAATAAGCTCCTATTTATTTAATTTACTTTTCTTGAAATATTAATGAAAAATCTAGAAATTTCTTAGATGTTGATTTGTGATTATGTATCAATTTTAAGCAGTAAACAATAATCTCAATCAAACAATCAAGACAAATCGACACAACGATTTTACGTGGAAAAACCACAATTGGACACCTCCAATTGTGATAAAAAAACTACGGCCAAAAGCCACAAAACAATCCACTAAAAAGACATAAAGAATTACACAGGTATACTCTCAATTACCTAGCGAATCCATGCCCGAATTGAACCAACCCCTATGTGCCTCTTCCAACCCCGTCTTCACCTCGGAATTGTCTTGACGATGAGCCACTCCAGAACCCACCAAGTTTCAGGCTCGAATTCTTCGGAATCCACCGAAGAACAACTCTCTCTTTTGTATAGAATGAACAAACAAACCTTTGATGTATTCTTCTTAATCCATGAGTTGAATACTCAATTAAACATCAAAGAAAATTAGCAAAATATCTCCAGATATAAACCCTAGTATCCAAAAAGAAGATCTGGAGAAGTAATCCTAAAATCTGACAGAAACCCGTACTTATAGAAATCTGGGACTACGAAACTCGCTCGAGCGAGGAACCAAAAACGCGTGTTTTCCATAAGTGGCTTCGCTCGAGCCACGCAGGTTTCGCTCGAGCGCACATTCATCTCTTTCAGATTTTTTGCCAGACGCAGTCTTCACTCGAGCGAGAACTTCTTCGCTCGAGCGAGCAAGGACGAACAAGCAACTTTGAATGCAATTTTGCATTTTGTTTCGGGGGCGCTGCCCCTCGACCCCGCCTGGGCGCTGCCCCAGACCCGCCAAGGGGCGCTGTCCCCTCGATCCCCGCGAGCTGACCAGATAGCTCGATCCCCGTCATAATCAGCGAAGTGACAATCGTGAAAGTATTAACATTACAAACTTCTCTGCAAGGCACAATTCAGGTTGGATTCGCATCTAAAACTCATATCCTCACTGAAATACAAGAGCGAATAAAATTACAATTGAAAGGAGTTTTGTCAAACAGGATTACCAAGAATAAAAACCTAACAATTAAAAACAAGAAATTGGTCAGTTTTCAAAAGATTGTTAATTACACCATACCCTAAACAACTTTCTTGTTTGATTTGTGAAAATATTGAGCTTTCTTCTTCTTCTTTTTTGGGGGTGTGTGTTTGGTTAGCAAGGGAAGGATGGATGAAGGCAGGAATGGATTTTCCATATGTTGATGAATTATATAAAAAATATTTCTAACAATTCAGAGATTAAAAGAACCGTGATGGACTCTCTGTTTTTGCTTTGTCCCTTTTTTCCAAAGACAAATGTATACTGATCATGAATCTACAGTCGTTCGATTAATTTTACTCCGAAAGTCTTATAAAATAAATAGTTAAGATTATTGAGATGAGTTCTATAATGGGCCCCACCAAGGCCCAACAGCACGTTCCTGTTGCCAACGGGTAATTATTTAATAATTCAGCAGGGAATATAGACACGTGGTATTCCATAGTATTGTGATTGGTGGATAAGGTGAACAGATGGGATATTATGTTGGGTGATAATTGTCTAGAGAGTATGGACACGTGGTATTCCAGGATTATTGAATAATTTCCCGTTGCGAACGGGATAGAAGCCTCTGTTTCCAAGGCTTTGTGTTGTCTAATATTTCGTATATAGACAACTGCAAATTCTCACAGTGCATTGTTTGCTGTTATTGAGGTTCTTTTTTTGTAGAAAGTGGTATTGAAGTTCGATCTACATAATGACAAAGCTGAGGAGAAAAAGGTTATAAAAAATAGCCTTCCAGGTATTCAATTAAATTCCACACTCGCATCACAGTTATGTAGTTCTGCAACCTGTCAATTTGTTTAGTTCTCCATTTTTTTTTGGCAAGGAATTGATTTAATTTTTATGAACATAAAACTTGAAAGATAAGAAATTTATCCGAAAATTATACTGCACAGATCTGTTAAAGAATTGGGCCATGAAAGAACCTGAAAAAGATAGAAGATGAACATTTAAAAAAAAGATGAAGGCAATTAGGTTGATGAGCCTAATGCATATACATTTGTGAAGTCACAATTGTTTGCAAATCGCAGCCCGAAATTGAATACAAAAATCAAACAATGTATCGTACTTTTTATTAACTACAACATTTGATTATTCATTCTATCTAGTAGCTAGAACAAGTGGTGAAGAAATAGGGGAGGGAGGGGATATGTGAATTAGGTTGATGAGCCTAGCCCTAGTAATGAAAATGCATATGTGAATTGAATGCAAGAATCAAACAATGTATGGTTCTTCTGGTTAACTATAATGATTGATTGATCTATTATGTTCTATTTATGTCCTACTCGAACAAGTGGTGAAGAAATAGGAGAGTGAGGGGAAATCATGTGCGGTGCCATCACAATCTCATCCAACCTTCGAAATGACAGGCTGACTTGAAGATTGTTTCGCCTACATTGCCTCCTTGGTGGTTCCTGTTTGGTTTGAAGCATGGAGTTCGTAATCCTTGACAGCGCAACTCTCATGGTATCATCATCCATGTTTGCAAAGCAAACCCTAAACCAACCCGGCTCTGAGCAGTGAAAAGATGAGCCAGGCGAAACATTGAGCTTGACTTCGTGGACTATCTTACGCCACAGTGCCATCTCAGCTTCCTCAGTTGGATCCTTAAGCATCCTACGCAAATCCATCCAAATAAAGAGCCCGGCATTGCTCTTCAAGCTATCAATGCCAACTTCAGCAAGCCCCTTTGTGAAGAGCTCATGCCTTTTAGCTAGCCGCTTTGCAGACTCAGACATGAATTTTTGAATGAGATTGTCATCCAATAGCATTGATGCAATCAGGCGTTGAGTTTGGGTTGAAACAAGCCCAAAACTTGACATCTTACGTGCACAACTCACCACTGCATCGTTGTACGAATAAACAATGCCAACCCTGAAACCAGGAAAGCCCATATCTTTTGAGAGACTGTAAACAATGTGGATGAGATCGCGATTGCATTGTTTTTCTTCCTCTATTGTCTCTGCGATGCTGATGAAATCGGGTTGGTTGAAGACTGTGGCAGAGTATATCTCATCACAGACTAAGTGGATGTTGTTTTCATTAATGAAGCTCACTAGGGTTCTCATTGTGTCTCTGTCTAAGACAGTTCCTAACGGGTTTGATGGGTTGGTTATGAGCAAGCCCTTGACATTGATGTTGGCCTCTTTGGCTCCCTCCAATGCTGTTTCCAAGGCTGCTCTGGTGACCTTAAAATTGTTTGAGCTCTTACAAACAACTGGAACAAGTTGTACTCCTGTTCGCCATTTCAAGTCTCGACCAAATCTGCAACCATAGAATCATAATTAGCCACGACATTCTGTATAGAAATTTTGTAAAAATATTTTATTCATATAGCAGTACTCCATTGGAACATAATGCTACCACGTTTGCATGGTTTATGCCAATTCTTTATTGTTTCTGGAGTTATCAAAATGCAAATTTAAAAATAAAATAAAAAACTATAGCAAGTTCAAAGGGCACCCAGTGCCTGAAACTCCTCAAGCTACCATATATATACAAACACCGAAATATATACATCCTTACCCCGCATGTGAAAAAAAAGGGGGCTAATTATAGAGAGATAGTACTTGGTCCAATATAAGGAATAAATGGTTAGTGGCAAAATGCCTAAAATTGAAGATGGACCAAACACCAAAAAATCAAAAATCAAAACAATTTAAAGAAAAAAAAAAACATTTAAAAAGAAGGTGGCTCTCATGCCCCTACAATTGTTTCCAGTCACCATCATATACTTTTCAGTGGTGGACCTGTTTACTTCTACTATGGAGAGAAAAATGGCTGTTTTCAATGTCTCCACCAATATTTTCAACTCTGTTTTAAAGAGCTTTACATGTGGAGTTGAAACTTGGAAAATGTCTGTTTAGACTTTTAAACCTATTTTAATTACTATATAATTGGCCAGACCCATTAATTGTTAGACTGTCAAACATAATTGATGATAATATAATTGACCACACCCATTAATTAACTAAGTATGCGTTTGTTATTGATCCAACAACTGATCTTTAAAAAATAATTATCGAGTCTTTTTGGAATACCATAGTGATGACGTGCATCACCATAATACGGGGTTATGTACTTGCATAGCTCAAAAAAATATAAATAATATGAAGAAATTAAAAATACTATTGGTTGGGCAGACAAAAATGTAATGTTAAGAGAAGACTAAATAATTTTTATTTGTCAAATAGAAATGAATTTTATCTTCCTTATAACCGCGCAATAATATTTCGAGATTCTTGTGCAATAAAAATCTTAAAACACAAGAAATTCAAGACATAATCGTGCAATTGGAAGACTGCAATGAGAATAAAAACTTTAGAGATAGAATCTGTCTGTTTTTGTGTGCATATATATATATATATATATATGTATGTATGTATATTATTAATCTTCACCACACTTATGCTGTGTTTGGTTGGGGGATTTGGGGAGAGATTTGAAAAGGGAAAGGGAAAAGGTGTGTGAAACTAAGTGAAATGTAAGTATATTTTATTTATATTTCACCTAACTTTTCTCTTTTTTTTCCCTTTTCAAATCCCTCCCTAAATCCTCCAACCAAACGTTAAAAAAAATATTAAAGAAGAGGATTGAAAATGATGTATTACCCTGGATAATATGGTGTGGGCACCAAAAATGCATCACCAGGGTCAGCCAAGCAGAAGGCCAACATTTCATGAGCTCCAGTTGCTCCACCACTCATCACAACCCTATCTGGCTCAAATCTGACTCTGTCTCCTCTGACTTTCCCCATAAACTTAGCCACTGCCTGTGTATTAATTAACACCCATCACATTATTCACAAAATTTAGACTTTTATTATGTTAATATTATTTACGTAGACATAGAATTAATAGTTTTTAATGTATTGATTATTACATTTCTGAACTCTGGTAAGCCATGATAATCCTGATAAATAGCAATATCCTTGAAGTCCTTTGCTCCTTCAGCTGTGCAAATGGAAGCTTTTGGGTTGTTCACAACCCACTCTGGAATCAAATCAAAGCATAGCTGCAAAGAATAACCACAACACAAATAATCGGATTTTTTTTTTTTTTTTTGGTTATTAAAAAGGGGGTGACGCAAGCCAGACCCCAGTCCTGGTCTAAGACATCGCTTAAGGCAACAGCGACGGAGAGTTGAACCTGGGCTGAAAGCATTTTTGGGTCGACCCTTTCCGCTGAACCCACCCCTAGGGGCTAATCAGACACTTTAGTTTGAAAAAAAAAAAAAATTATTTACTAAAAATTAGCTTACGAAAGTATAAATTTTTTTTGTTAGAAAAAAAGATAGGCAGGGTAACCAGTTTGTTGTAACCCACCTGTTGGAGAGTCGGACAAAGAGAGCCCTACAGTGTTGCAGTCACTCCCACCCAACTCCAATGAGAGTATAATGGGCAAAGAGCTAGTAGCTGAAGATTAATAGGCAAGAGTCTGGTCTACTAGAGAGGCAGGCCTTCTCCATTTAATGACTTCACGATTTTTTATTGGTTAGTAATATCCAACCGTTAAGCTCAGTATTTTATTTTTTTTCTAATTAGAGTTGTCCCAGAGACTCACACATTATTCCGATCACCAAAAACCAGGCCACCAACGACCAAACAATCACTCTCGGGTGGTTCAAATTTTATTATTATGTATTTATTTTTGAAGAAAATGAAGGAGAATAAGAAAAGAAAAACTGCATTCACAGCAATAAAACTGGAAAGTGTAGATGTTGCAATATTTATTAATTTACCTCATTTTCTGCAAGACCCATTTGGATAACCCCATTGGGATTCTGGGTAGGATGATATGGATCGCTATCATATGCCTTCCAACCATCGAAATATGGAGATTCTTCGCCATGTCCATTGTTTGTTGCCATCTTAGACAACAACGAGGAGCCCTGTTGGTTGTTGTTTTGAATGACCACCATCTTTGTTATTTTTTATTTTTTTTTGTGAATAAAAATTTTGAAAATGGTTTGTGATAAGTCCAATTCAGGAGAGGAAGTAAGGTAGTAATTTATAGCGATACAAGAGAGAGGAGAAAGAGGGAGAGAGAGAGAGAGATGTTTTGAAAGTTAAACCAAACAAGGCGGTGGTCTCTTTCAGTAGTCGTAATTGCTTGCGTTATGCTGCCATGCTCAACCCCATGAACAAGCAGAGACCGAAAGAAAAGTCGTTACTGGTTCTTTTTAGATGGTACACAATTGAGCACAATAAAATTTTATTTATTTACTTTCTTTTTTATATTTATTTTAAAAATAATTAATTTTTGTATTCATAAACTTATTCAAATAAAAATTGGAATACATATTGTGTCCAATCCATAAACGTGGACTAAACAATTTAATTTGGCCTTTTCGGTTACGAGTCATATTATGATGATCTGATCTATTAATATTGTTATTCTCTATATGTAGATCGCTCATGAAAATTTTAAATTAAATTATATATTTTTTCAAAAAATTTGATGATAAAAATTATTTTTAAAATAAACATTACTCTTTTGAAGATAAATATAACAAAATAAAATAATTATAATTATCAAATCAATTAATTTTTTTTAAAAAAATTTATGCACGATCTACATATAAAGAACAACAAACAAAATAAATAGTACAAATCATTTTAATAAAGCTTGTGGTAGGCCCAACTAGACTATTCAATAAACAAATGTTGACAAGAGACGATCTCAGTTTTAAAAGAGTAATACTAAGAATCATGAAAAAAAATATTATGAAATCCTTCATGAAAATTTCTCCTCCTTTGATTAATGTGTGATATTTTTTTGTATGTATAATCTAACAGTGGAGAATCTTTCACGATCATTTTCATGATATTTTTTCCATAATACCTAACATTACTCGTTCTAAAATATTGAGGGCAACTATAATACCATCTTAAGTGGTATTATTGGCCAATAAAAATAAATAAATAGAGTTAAATGGATAACTCTTGTCTCCCGCTAACTTAAGTGGAGTTTGGCAAATGTTGTTACAATAGGTTTTTATTTTTTATTTTACATTTTTTTAAAAAAAAAAAATTAAAGAGCGCATGTGTTTGGTAATTGTAAAAAAATTACATTTGCTGTGGAGAAAGTTTGTTAATCTTTTCAAACTATTGCTTTTTGTAAAAAAAATATCATAAACCTTAACGTATTATAAAGAGTGTTGCTATTAGCACCTACTTTTTTACTTTGGCCCCTCCAATTCTTTGAGCCCCCACCTAACAAAATGAGTCCCCATCCTTTTTTCTTTGAACCCCCACTTTAATGCCAGCTATACCCTCACCCAAACCCTAGCCCTAGCCTCCATTCCTAACCACCACCTCCGGCACCACTATCGTCGCCGTCGGCAGCCCACCTCCGACCTTTCTTCTTCTTTTTCTTTTTCCTCTTCTCCTTTACCTCCTCTATCTCAACTTCGACAAACCACCATTGCACCACCGCGATCTGAAAATCATCTTCCCCTCCACTGCCGCTTCCATAACCACCAATCCCGCTACCTCATCCTCTTCTTTTCTTCTTCATCTTCTTCTTCTTCAGATCACAACCCAAATCGCAACGTAACTGCTATCATAACCCTAGATCATTTCCTCTTCTTCTTCTTCTTCTTCTTTCCTCAAAACCCTACATCTGAAAGTGAAAATCGAGCCACGATGGTGGTGGGCTACGCCAATGGTGACGACGATGACGAGGTATATCGCGATGGCTTGTAGATGTAGAGCTACAATGGCAATGGTCAGCGATCTGTCTCTCTCTTCTTCTTCTTCTTCTTCTTCTTTGTGACTCTCTCTCTCTCACACACACAGAATTTCTGCGATCGATTATGGCGGCGATCCATTAGCCCATCGGTGATTGCAGAAGGTAGCGATGATGGATGGTAACAATGACGCCAGTGGAATTAGGGTTAGGGTTTTGAAAATTAGGGTTAGAGAGTTAGAGATGAGGGTAAAAATGTAATTTTATATTTGGATAAAATTGGAGTTAAAAATAAGAAGAAAGATGGGGGGTCCAAAGAAGAAAAGTAGGTGCTAATAGAAGCACTCATTATAAAGCCTTTATTAACATAATTAAAGGGACACAATGCTTAAAAAAAGAAAAAAATGCTACTAAAGGGACGTAATGAAATTTTCGAAGTATAAAAAGTGTAATCGTCTTTCAACATTTCTATTAATATTTGTGTGGGTGATTTTCTGACCACACTGCCCGCTTAGTAACCAGCTAGAGAGCACCGGCAGAATAGATGGCACCTAGCTGACCTGCAACAGAAAGAGAAGATTCCGGCGGTGGTTCGTCCACCAGGAGGCACTCCGACGATCAAGTCAGTATATCTCTCAAAGATAAATCAAGTGCTAAACTCACAAGCTTGAGTATCAAAAAGCATACCTTAGACCCATGGGGGTGTCTCTCTTTTATAGCCAACATAAACCTAGTCCCAATAGAAGTCTAACTTCTATGGACTCAGGATTACTGCTAATCTTAGACTCCCAATAAGATTAGGATAAACTTTCTAAGAGTCTTATCTTAATACAAACTGAAGTCTTCTCTCATTCTAGGACTCTTGCCCCTCATCCGTTTATCTCGGATTCCGATATCTTCGGAGGTAACCTCGGCCTATCCGAGATGACCTCGGCATAACAACCAAGACACATGGCACCTCGGCTGACACGTCGGCGTCACCTTGGCCACGTGTTGGTACTCAGAAAATATATCCCCACAACTGCCCCCTAGGTTCTATTACCTTGGCATTCTGAGGTGATGGAACCTACACTGTTCGTTCATCTGTGCCCCTCTGTCCGAGATCAAACTCGCCGACTTCAAAGTTCCCTGGACTTCACTGTCCACTTCTGTCAAGTATCAAGCTTCATGCTTTCCAAGCTGCTCGAGATCACACCTCCTAGCCGAGGTTCTTGTTCCATTAATTAGTAAACTCCAAGAGCTTTGCAACTGCTCCACTCACATTCTTCGGTGGGTTCCTGACTTCCAGTCATCTATTTGACTCCGGTGATCTTCATATCGGCGTTCATTTCTCTTGGTAGGTTCATAAACTCTTTTATTAAGCTCAATCTTTCATAACTCTTCTGAATCCGTTTACTTGCCCTCTGTTGTCTTCTATTTTCGTCTGTTTTCAAGTTTTGAATTGTTTAAATGCCTGGCACTGTTCTTACCATATCCGTTTTATGTTACTAGCATCGTGTCTGGGTCATTACTTTCTTGTTCTTCGCATACTTACTTAGTGCCTGTACACTTGGCTTTATTCTTGAACTTTGTCACCTTCTTGACTTTGATTTTTCTCTTTTTTTATTCAATCCTCTGACTTTTTCTCTTTCTAGCTCTTTTGCTTAAATCTGTCATTGTTCCAAGCTTTCAAGCTCTGCAACTGTTTTCGTTCCTCTCCTCCTATGAAGCTTACGTCATTCTGTCATTTTCGCATCCGTCGTCAGACTTCGGCAATTCTCATTCCAGCTTCCCTCTTTCTGGTAAGCCACTGTTCCTCCTGGTTTTATTTCATTTTGCCTTCCAAGAAGCTCTACTTCATTGTTAATCACCATTGCTGTTTTACCCGTTGTTTCCAAATCATCTTCTTGAATACACATTGTTCACACATCCGTTGATTTCTGCCACTGTTCTTGGCTTGACACACCTGTGCAATCTTTTTGTCTTGATTTCCTGATAGCTTCATCACCATTCTTGATTACGAATTACATTTTTGTTTTCTGTTTTCTGTGTCTTTTTCCAGATTCTTGCTTTCAATCCTTGCCTTCAAACTCCGAGGTGCCAATCGCCGAGAAGAGCTTTGATCAAACTCTTCAGGAGATTGATGCTGAGCTTGAGGCCGAGAAGGCTGCTGAGAAGTCTTCCCAACTGTCTTCTGTATCCTGCCATTGATGCCGAGTTAGTTTTGTTTCCTTCTTTTACTCCTTGTACCTTATACCTTGTACCTTGTACTTTATCCTTCTTTGTATGCTTTTAATCCGGCCGACGTGCCATTTTTGTAGTCTGAATTTATTTTTCAATATTCAGGCCGAAGTGCCTTCTTTCTTCTTTAAATGCATTTCTCTAATTTCTTCTTTGAATGAATGTTTTTTTTTTTTCCTGCTCTTGTATGATTCTACACTTAGAATAATTTGCATGTCTTCAAAGTACACCTTGATTATGCAATCTCTTCGGGTAAAATACCTCTGTCACAACTTCTAATCTTGCTCATCTCAGCTTTGTCCTAACACTTTGAAAATATTGAAACAAATATTTTCACAAGTGTTGCTTAGGACTTGTCACTTTCTCAATGTCTTCTATCAAGACTTTAGTTTTCCATATTTCAAGTTTTGGCAACCTGGTAGTCTCGGCAAGTGTGCAGATATTGCTTGAGCTTAACTTTAACTTGTAAATTTTTCTCAAAAATTTCAACAAGTGTTTTAACCATCATCCTTTATCATAACCTCGGCTTAACTTCAACTTGTAAATTTTTCTCAAAATTTCAACAAGTGTTAAACCATCTTCCTTTCGATACGACCTCGGTTTAACTATAACTTGTAAATTCACACAGAATTTTCAACAAGTGTTTAAATATCATCTCGGTTTAACTTCAACTTGTAAATTCACACAGAATTTCAACAAGTGTTAAACATCATATCGGTTTAACCAACTTGTAAATTGCTTCAAATTTTAACAAGTGGTAAACATCATATAGGTTTAACCAACTTGTAAATTGCTACAAATTTCAACAAGTAGCAAACATCATATCGGTTTAACCAACTTGTAAATTATCCACAAATTTCAACAAGTGTTAAACAATGATTTCGGTTTAACCAACTTGTAAATTATTTACAAATTTCAACAAGTGTTAAACAATGATTTCAGTTTAACTTCAACTTGTAAATTGTCCACAAATTTCAGCAAGTGTTAAACAATGCTCTCGGTTTAACTTCAACTTGTAAATTGTCCACAAATTTCAACAAGTGTTAAACAATGATATCGGTTTAACTTCAACTTATAAATTGTCCACAAATTTCAACAAGTATTAAACAATGATTTTGGTTTAACTTCAACTTGTAAATTGTC